AAATTTTACAAGTTGGCTGGCCCAGTCAAGGAAACTGAGCTATATAAATTGATTACTCAAGGGATCAAATGTAGTTGTGGGGGCTTGAAAAACTCGTTTGAAAAATATGGCTATAGTGCGGGCTTATTGTTTGGTTGAAATGTATGTTTTAGAACAGTGATATGTTTTTTAATAGGTTTTTAACCAATGATTTAAAACTGTGCTCACTATATATACTGTATATCCATTACTACAACCATTTATTATTACTTCTTTACTAGCGTTTGCCGTTTATTTGATTAGAAGTTCTTTTTAATGTGTTTCAAATGTGTTCATCGATCAAGTTCATTGAGAAAATAATACCACCAACCATTTTGTCATTCTTATGAAAAGTAAACTTGACTTTCGTCAATCCTCGACCCAAATACGGCGGCCAGGAGTCGCCGTTTAATTTGATGTTCCTTATAGGGTAGATCCCTTTCGGCAAAGGGCACAGCGGATCGGGAAAATCCGTTTTTTTTATCTCATCTTTGAAGTAATGGGTCATGAATGTATTAAAGATGCGGCAGCTTTTGCCCTGCTGCTTGAAATTTGACTTCACCCATTCTCCGTTTTTGAAGGTCCAGAGCTCTCCGTTGGAATCCACACTATCATCCAAGTCCATCAGCAATCTTATTGTTCCATTGAACCGGCGCTCCCTTCCGATTAGTTTCAAGTCGTAAAAGACCAATGTTTCCTCATCCCCAGCTAAGGACTCCAGGGTTTCAAGTCGCACCTCCACGGCATTCACCAAAGCCTAGTATTCAGTGTATTTAAAAATTGACAGTAAGAAGGCAATAAATGTATGTTTACCGCAGAAACCGTGAGCAAAAAATAGTGTGCCAAAAAACGTGACATTTTAGGGCCAGATCGGTTTTCCCACTAAACGGACAACTTTTCCTGCTTTTATACTCGATTCGATTTTGAATGAAACGCCTTTTTAATTTCGTTATTACACAAGCCGTTTACATTATTTGATTTGAATTGGGCGTGGTCTAGATAGGGTTGAACAGCTTAATCACTGGTTTGGCTATAAGATCCACAATAGATAGAAAATTAGCTGCGTTCATAACCAGTATATAAGCCAGATACATCCATTGGACCTTTGTTTGTGGAGCAGTGGTGGGAAACCATAGGGCCTGAGAGCCGTAACTCTCTTGGAATTCATGAAATTAGAAACGTTCTCTTGTTAGCCTTGCTAATTGCAAAGAAACAGGAAAACGAACCGTAGGCGGTTTTACAAATCTCAATTTACCCTCAAATTGTATCAGATTTGAAAAGCTTTTTTCCCTGTGCCCGTAAGGTCACGAATATCAATCTCTTTTGTCTGTTCCATCTGGGCAAGATGGATCTACGAGTATTTTGGCGAGTGGTAAGTCGTCGAGAAGTTTCCAAGCCATAAACAAATTCGTAATTGCCTTATAATGCCTTGTGTTGACAGGACTCGACAACCAGATAAGGTCCTAGGCTCAGGCAGACGAGAGGGACGGAAGCAAAAGCTGTGAGACAGACAGTCAGTTGGGTAACTGAAATTAGCATAAAACTTCAATTTTGCTTTAGGAAAATGTGTCCAGTGCAGAAACGGTGCTTTGCAGATGGGTGTGTGGGAAAACCATATTTTCTATCGAACCAGCCAATCACAATGGATTGCCACTATAAAGCAAGGACGTGAAATACGGCACAGCCACACACATGGGATATTCCTGCATTAATTAGTAATTTATTTCAACTTTCTGGGCTTAGATTTCCCACAAAAGTGGGAAAGTGTGGACATGGAGTGTAAATGAACTTTTGTTCATTTGAGTAATTTCATTTCGAAAGTTCTCTCTGTGCCTGTTCAAATTTTATGAATATTTAAGAACCCTCCCGACAGTTTCCAGATTTCCCCCAAATGATTCGGTGCCTGTGGCCCTGCGAGAAGACAAAGCCTCCTTCAAATTGAAAATTCATCAAAAAAGTTGAGCACTTTATAAAGTGGATAAAATATTCATGCATGCAAGTTTCTATTAGTCTAAAAAGTTGGATTGGCTAATAATTCAGTAAAAAGCAATTAGCCCTCACGCACCGCAACCTCGAAATATTTCAATTCAGATCTGAACTCAAGTTTAATATTGAAAGTAGTTTTTGAATTTTTTTTCAATTTCGTATGTTATTGGGTAATAACTTACAACGAAATGTAAATTAATTAAAGATAGTTTACAACAATTGAAACCTTCATAAAGAAGTTTAACTCAGTTCTGATCATCTTACTGCTCCTCTTTTCTTTGCATTACTCTTATGTTTAGTTTTAGTTGAATATTTAGTCCTAATTTTTATTTAAATTGCTTATTTAATGTCACAGGCTTGATTATAAATTAGTTTTTGAAAATGACTCCTTAGTGAGTATTTTCAGTCGTTCATCGAACACTCTTACATGCTCGCCAATTGCTAGACAAAATGAATTGAAAAGTAGACACTTTTTGCAAATGTGCCTTGAGCTTATCATTTCCATGTCCTGCGAGGCTTCCGATGCAAATAATAAATGGTTGTTCTTAAAGGCCTTCAGCAACTTCACTTCGGTATCATCCAATGGGACGTGTGGAGGCAGCTTGCGTGCCTGCATGGATTCCCAGATGTTGTCAGATTCCATTGCTAAGGCTAATATAACTATAATTTTATAATTTTTATTAAAAATTTAACTTACTGATTTATAGTATGCAGATTTGGAGTTAGAGCTTGACACTAAATTTCTTACCAATTAGTGTTGACAAAAGTCTTGAAAGGTTAGTCTATGTGAACTTTGATACCGAACTAAACGATTGTAATTAGTATTAGTATTAGATAGTATTAGTATTAGCATTAATTCCAAAGCCCTCCGGTCTTGTATTTAATTAACCTCCTAATAAAAACTAGTAGTATTTAGGGATTAAGAATTTTACTTAGTTTTAGGGAATATTAAAAAATTTTATATTTTTTATTAATTTATTATAAAATGTATTATACAAATTTATTATACAATTGCATAATTGCACTAACGGCTTCGGAAGTAACTAAATACATTTGTCCGGAAATTCCACATAATATGTCCGCAATGAAGTTCTTCTCGTGGTGTCTTAGGCATAGTACTGAGTTGACGAAAATCCGCTGTTGAAATTCGGATAGCGATTTTAAGAAATAGAAAACTCGGTCAAAATCAAAATCAATCACAAATCATTTTAATGCCATTTTATGGCATTAAAATGCCCCTTGCGGGTCAAATCCCATATTATGGGCTTCGTCTTGACCGCAGAAATTAATTTTAATTTGTCCTGGCGCGTCGAAAATTTTTCGGGCCGACTATTTTTTTGTTTGGTCAATTGACCCACCATGTCACACCTATAGAAATAAATTGAAATATTTCTTTGAACTCCCCGAGAGCAGCTGTTTATTTTTTTTGATCCGGCAACACGATTAAAATCGATAACAAAAATTTTCGTCAACTCAGTACCCGCAAAATCTATAAGGCAAAAATTTCTTCTTCTTTCCTTTTTTACACCGTTTTTTTTATATGGAGTTTGACAGCTGTCACTCGTTGGACAGCGGATTTTCGTCAACTCAGTACTATGCTTTAGCAAAAAAATGTTTTCTTGTGGTGTCTTAGCACACTGCAATCACACTTAATGCATTGCGAATTAATGCACACTGCGTTATTAAATTGCGAATTAACTCGCAGTTATTATTGTTTTTTTGACTTTTTTCCCCCGCTACACCGCATGGTTCCCCTCGAGCACCACTGAATATTTTTTATAGAATATACATAGTTGACCAATCTGGAAATTCTGTCTTAGACGTCAATGAATTACAAAAAATAAAGTTTTGGTAGATCTTTCCAATGTCAGCTGTTTTATATAGTTTTCTAATGGATCTGCCTTCAATAAATTTTTACACCCGGTACTCGTTAAGTACAAGGGTATATTGTAGTCGTGTGAATGTATGTAGAATAGAGAAGGAATCATCTAGAATCTAGAAGGAATCAGAAGATACACCCATACCTACAAATATACATATGCCATAAAATTTTCCATCAAAAACGGGCTACAATTTTGAACGCGTGGATCTCAAAGACTATAAGAGATAAAACTATCAGATTTGGAACTTGGACTCCTATGGACTCGTTTGAAGCCAAACTGTTCCAATAGCTAATCTACGCCCACAGATACATATTTAGCTCAATCGGATAATTTTAGAGGAGCTGTAGCGCAAGAGTATTAAACAAAAAGTTTTTATTAAGCAAGACGAACGGACATAAATACATATATTATTATTCTGTATAATTTATTCTACATTCGCAGTTATGTTTACGAACTTAATATATTGACTTAATGCATTTTATAATCTTTTATTTTACTATATGGTATATTTTTTACTTTTATTTCATTGCATACATATGAAGAAAATGAAAATTCCCTGAAAGGGTCTAATCAAGAACATACAAAGAGACTGATATTTAAGTAAAACCCTCTCGGTAGCGACCCACCAATCGACCAATACAGGTTGATAAGAAAGCAGAGTACGAACCGCCTAGTCCAGGAGGTTTATAAATATTTATAAGCGACTGTTGCAGTTGTTATATGCTAATTTGGACCAGAAGTGGCGGCACAGTTACATCTTGAGCATCTGGCAGTGCGGTAAATATAATTTACATGGCTCGGCGGCATTTGCATAGCTAACGACAAAAACTACTCCTCGAGCAGCTTCTCCAGCATCTTCCTATATCCTTGCTGCACGAATACACACACACACTAAGTATACACGTATACATATATCCTAAGTATAACCCCGAGCATTTCCAACACCAGTTTACACAAATTAATGCGAACTCGCACGTGTTAATTCAAGGATGTGCGGCAGTTTTATCCTTTTGCCTGGTATTTGGCATGAATTTACATATTAGAAAAAGTTTATGCTTGGGAAATGTCAGTTTAATATGCGTGAAGTAGTTTCGTCTCGGAGAATGCTTAAGAAAAACGAAAGATAAAACTTTTGAGCAATCTAACTTTCTGTTCCGAACGACCCTCGCAGAATCCAGCCCATCTCCTAGTCGTGGGTGGCATAAATAATTAGGGTTATTCTCTGGTTGGGAATGTGACAAAAATAAGCATTCCTGAAGCGGTCCTTAGTTTCTCGGCTTATAACACATAGTATGGTTCATAATTAAATCATTCAAAATTTAATCTTCTGCGACTAAAAACTTGCATTCCCTTTTGGGTCTTGGTATCATTATAAGGAGTCCCTTAGAAATTGATCTGTTTATTCTGATTCGGAAATTCTCTTCGCACTTCTCTCGGCAAACATGAACTGTATAAGGATTACCAGGTAGGTAACCACTGCTGCAAACATCTGAAAAGATTTAAAAACGTAAAAAATAGTTAAAGTTTTTGAGCTCCCAACTACTTACGCTACTGAGCAAGTGAAGGTTGAGACTGAAGAAGTCCTTGGCGGTGACCACAAATCGCTGATGGAGCGTTTGCAACGAAAACTCACTGACCAGGTCGTTGTATCTCTTGCTGCCCATGGGCTTCACCAACTTGGAGATCAAACAGCCGATCTGGCGACCCTGAAAGATGTATTAATGGCAGTTCAGTCTCAGTGCTGTGATAATCTCACTAGGTTATAGCCCTGTTGGCAGTGCCAGCAAGCAGCGGTAATTTGGAGGTCCACGTTGAAAATGTAGAGTAAGTTTAGAAGGACTGCGTATATTCTTAGGGGAGCCGTTCTCACGTCCACGAAGAGCCAGTAGGCATGGCACACGTACATTGCGAAGAAGTCTATGAATATGATCAGTAGGCTTCCCCCGAAGTTGTTGTTGATCTTTTCGTACAAGTAGTAAAGTTCACTGTAGCGGCGCTTCAGGTCAAGGACTCTGTGGGCCTGCTGGTCTAGGAATTCCGCCTGCTGCTTTACTTGGGGCCAACGGCAAGAAAGCTCTCGGACCAGGGTCTGAAATTGACCTTTGGCCTGCCGGACCTTCATGTTGGACCCCATGACCTCAGATATAAACGAGACGATCTGCAGCTGAAGCGCCAGAAAGCTGGGTTGCATTTTCAAGTGAAAAGACCACACTTGGGCCGAGCTTCTCGCCCCGTTCGCGAAAATCATCAATGTATTTCCTGCAATTGGCAGAACAATAGACAGCACCGTGCAGGCCACTCGCGGGTTCGAGGGCTCTAAAATCTCAACATCGTTGCCTTTTGATATTGGAAACTGGAGTCCACGTATAAAGCTATTGGCCACCATAAAGCAATGCGATGCTGCGAGCAGAAAGGTCAGCATGAAGCGCAGTTGGCAGTCCAGGTTGCAGGCTTGAGCGCCACCAACCCTTTGGAATCCTTGAACAAACAAGAACAGGTACCAGATCATCCAACAGCCAAACCGCAGCCACAGGACCAGCCGAGGACGTCGTAGAGGCCTCAGCGAAAAAGCCACCAGGAGCAGTTTTAAGAGCCTGAGGACAGCACACGAGGCAGCTTGAGTTCTAGTCAGCGGAAACATGACTATTACTCCCAAAATAGTTGAAAGATCGATAGTTGGTATCCAGACCCTCAATGAGGTCTGGCGACTTGAATCCATCATTGTCAGTACTCGTTTTTCGGATTCAAATCAATTATATTTGACAGCCAAAGTGCTTTTAAGTTGTAGTGATAAGTGGTAAGCGGCGTGAAAACATTAGACTTAAATGGGACAATTATTTTGGAATTACTAGTGATTTAGAAGTAAATATTTCATGCTCTCAAGCGTAATTCGCGACCTACATATACGTATATATATGAGACGTATTCATTAATCAATAACGTAAATTTAACTATATATATATACTTTAATAATTTAATAATTTAGTAATAATAGTTTATACTAAGATACTTCTATATACATACATAGAAGCCATTACAAAACACTGTATTTGCATGCTAAATATTGTATAGTGGACAGATAAGTAATTCAAACCGCCATTTAACTGCAAACTTATATCAACTTTGTCTCCACATGAAGTTAGAATTTCTTTATATATTGCTATACCACTCATTAAGAGGGTTATCAAACGGAGAAATATGTACATTAACATTTGATTATGTACCTATTCCGTACAGAAAAAAACAAAGATAAGGAAAAGCTCAAGATCAAGTTCATTGGCTCGTATAAATAAGCTCTATTTAAATCAGTCATCTCAGATCACTCGGTCGTTGTGGAATCAACGAACATGCGCTCGTACTTGTTTTTAGGTATTTTAGTCGGCGTTATGACATTTAATGAGGCTCAACGGACTTGCGAAATGTCGACAATTTGTGGGAACGCGGCATCGATTAGATCCCAAATGATCGCCGTGCGGTAAGTAATTGAAAACAACGTGTCCGAAGCTAAAAATAACATAAATAAGAATTCTAGAGTGGAACAAGAACGACATGGCGAGCTCCTGGAGGACTTGACCCACAAACTAGACACCTGTCTCGCCAGGAGCAGTGTGCAGGCCAAGCTGTACGGCAAAAGCTGTGCAGAGCCCTCGGTATTGGCGCAAAACAGTGAAATCAGCGTTGTCGTGGTGCCAGAATACAGTAAGCACCCCTTCATGGTGGCCTGCGATCCGCTGAGTCACGGGGGCGGCTGGACAATCTTTCTGAGGCGCACGGACGGAAGTGAGGATTTTTTCCGGGACTGGAACGACTACAAGAATGGTTTTGGAAGGCTAGAGGGTGAGTTCTTTTTGGGCCTGGACAAATTGCACGCCATGACCTCTGCGGAGCCCCAGGAGATGCTCGTATTGCTCGAAGACAATGAAGGAGATCGACGCTATCAAGTGTACGACAACTTCAAAATAGGGTCGCAGGATGAGGGGTTTGCCTTGGAGTCGCTGGGTAATAGCTCAGGAAGTGCTGGCGATGCTCTGGCTACGCATCTGGGTCAGAAGTTTACCACAAAGGATCGGGACAATGACAAACATGCTACAGCGAACTGTGCAGTCACGTACAGTAGTGCATGGTGGTATAACGCCTGTCACCATAGGTAATATCTATCGTTTTTACGTAGCCGTTAAAGTACGACTTTTGTTTTCTCAGCAATCTGGCTGGAAACTATGGCGATAACACACATGGAAAGGGTATCAACTGGTATCAATTCAAGGGGCACACCTACTCGCTAAAGCGGGCTCAAATGATGATAAGACCAAGAAGACAGTGCCATTAACTTGCAAATTAAATACAAAATTATAGATTTAATAGTAGGTTAAGATTTAAATCTGGTTGAACACACTTACGATTTTACGTTCCCTCCCTCGCCCACAAATTTCATATTTCTTTAGTCCCAGTAAAGAATTTTAAAATAATGTTGATTACTATACAATTATGAGTATAATTTGGTATAATTTAAAATTCTGTTAGCATTTTGAACGCGGTGATCTCGGAAACTATCCGAGACTATAAAACTATACGATTTGGAACTTGCACTTCTATGGTAACAGCGCAGATAATTTTTGTGTGAAAGTTTTGGCACGCCCACTCCTTACCCCCATTACTGAAAATGTGCTGTAGCACCAGTTTAAGAAAGTTTTTGAAAAAGTTTTAATACCAAACTATTTAAATGGCAACTCTACAATTGGAAATTTAGTCCAATCGAACAATTTAAAGAATAGGGTTTCTCCAAACCAAAGTATGCAATAGCATTTTTTTGCTGAGTTTCCTTTTATTTAAGTTTAAATTTTAGCTAAAAAGTGGGTAGAAAAAATGAATACCATGTATAATATAGTCGGGGAACTCGACTATAGCCTTCCTTTCTTGTTTGACTGTTGGATATATATGTCTCTAGATTCTAGAACAAGATCAAAGAACCTATTATACTATTCCCAATGATTTTGAGATACCTGCTTTCATATAGATAAAAGGACGGACTGCAATGGCTGTATAATTCATCGCATGCCAAACACTTTTTATACCCTTGCAGAGGGTATTATAATTTTGTCCAAAAGTGTGCAACGCAGTGAAGGAGACATCTCCGACCCTATAAAGTATATATATTCTTGATCAGGATCACCTCCTGAGTTGATATGAGCATGTCCGTCTGTCCGTCTGTCTGTCCGTTTCTACGCGAACTAGTCTCTCAGTTTTAAAGCTATCGTCTTGAAACTTTGCACACACCCTTCTTTCCTTTGCACGCAGTATATAAGTCGGAACGGCCGGGATCGGTCGACTATATCCTATAGCTGCCATGTAACTGATTGATCGGAAATGGTATAACTTTGGTGTTTTTAGAGTTAGAGAGCTCTTTTTGGCAAAATAATACGACATGCCAAATTTCATAAGGATCGGCCGACTATATCCTATAGCTGCCATATAACTGAACGATCGGAAATGACCCAACTTTCGTGTTTTTGATGATAGAAAGCTGGCACTTGGTACACATTCTATTTTTGGTCAGTTAATCCAATCTACCAAATTTCATAACGATCGGTTGACTATATCTTATAGCTCACATATAACTGAACGATCGGAAATGGTATTTGGTAGAAATATCAACTTTCGTATTTTTGAAGATAGAAGCTTGCGACTTTTTTTTTTTTTTTTTATTGTAATTAATTGGTTTTATTATGATGTAATCATAAGGATCGGCCAACTATATCCGATGTTTGCGATATATATCCGGTTTTAGGTGCAAGGGTATATCAACTTCGGCTCCGCCCGAAGTTAGCTTTGCTTTCTTGTTTTACTATCACATTCGCAAATACAATAAATCGGGAGAGCAAGAGCTTAGTTAAATTATCTGTCACAAACTTTCTTATGTACAAATATGACTCAACTGCCACTTACGTTTTCCGCCCCAGCATCGCCGTGCCAAAATAAAGTGACGATGGGCGTGCCAAAGTCGATGGCAGTGGCTCCGTTAAAGAACAGGGTTAGGAGGACCTGGCCCTCATACAGGTCCATCAGTATCCAGTAGGCGTTGGTAACGAACTCGAAGCCGGTCACCAGGTGGAGGCCTAACATGCCCCAGCCGTAGCAGTCACTAAAAGCCTCGTAGCATTCGAAGATGCGTTCGTAGGTTATCCGCAAGGTATGGAGTTGACGGCAATCCTGCACTCCGTATGGCTGCCACAAGTCATTGCCCGACGCCAAGGACAGCAGAGCCTGCCTCAGCTGAAGGGAACGCTGATTCAGATCCATAACATACTGCACGAGCTGAACATAGCGAAATCGAAGGAGCCACATTAGCGGCAGGGATATGGTGAACACGGGGGACACCTGGTTCCTCGAATTGATCAGAATCCTTACAAGGTCACAGGAAAACTGACCACCTATCAAGGCGAGGAGGTGTCCGGCCTGACGACATCTGTCGAACATTCCCAGGCGCTGAAGCTGCAGCTCCGACTGGAAGCGCAGGGCCTCCAACTGGCCGTGAGTCGTCTGCTGCAGAACACTTTCCAGGAGCAGCAGCAGTCCCAGCACAGAATTTCCCACAAAGAGCACTGTGCCCACTACGTTTCCGATACTTTCAAAGGCCACCGATTCAAAAGTAAGGGACACTGTTAGTAAAAACGCGATATAGGCAACCCACCCGCAGCGAAGGGCAGCGGAGAGCAGCAGTCGCCAGTGTTGCGAAATCGGTGGCAAGGGCACCAAGCCCATTGCCCAGAAAACTGCAGACAGGATTCGACGGGTTAGGCATTCCAAGTACTTCATTGTGTTTTTGACTCAAACGGACACTGGACGTTTTCATTATGGGGTGGTCTATTTAAATACTCATATTTGGAACATGACTAGAAGTAATTTTGGCAGCGCGGGTATGATTTATTAGGGTGATATTAAATTTTATACCCTTGCAGAGGGTACTATAATTTTGTCCAAAAGTGAAACGCAGTGAAAACGCAGTATTCTTGATTAAAATCACCTCCTGAGTTAATATGAGCATGTCTGTCTGTCTGTTTCTACCCTTCTACGCGAACTAGTCTCTCAGTTTTAAAGCAATCATCTTGAAAGTTGGCCCACATCCGTCTTTCCTTTGCACGCAGTATATAAGTCGGAACGACTATATACTATAGCTGCCATACAACTGATTGATCGGAAATGCTATATTATGATGTTTGTTAGCAATATATTAGAGAGTTCGCATTTTGTATGTATGCTATTTTTGGCCAAATAAAACGAAGTACGTAGACGTACCAAATTTCATAAGGATATTCCGACTATATCTTATATTTGGTATTTGAAGATAGAAGCTTGGGATTTTTTTTATATTTTGTATTGTAATAAATTGGTTATATTATGATATTCTCATAAGTATCGGCCAACTATATCCGATGTCCAACTATATCTATATCCGATGGTTTTAACTGCAAGGGTATATCAACTTCGGCTCCGAACGAAGCTTTTTCCTTTCTTTTTTATCATCCTACTTTTTGAATGACAACCCTTAGTGGAAGGTCCCCAGAACAGGGTGTTTTCAATATATTAACATGACGTACGATTGTAAAAATACAACAAAACAACAAGAACTGTTGAAAAATCGATTTCAAAAATTTTTTAACGTATAAGTTTTCTTTGCTTTTAGCACTGACTTTTTGACAGATTCACCCTATAGTTGATGGATATTTGAAATCTTTGTTATGGGTCAATATTGTAAGCAGAGGTGGTACACCCCTTCCAAATTGGTTCCGAGTTCCACCTCCGAGTGTTATATATTCTATTTTGCCCCTAAATTGATTCTGACACCCATTTCGGGTCCACTAGTTTGTTCTGTAGATACTCTGTAGGAACTCCATTTTAAGAGTTCGTAACACCTCAAAAATCGCTAAAATAAGTCCCAAGTATGTAGCAATTTTTAATAGTGATAGTATTTAATTAATTATCCTTATAGTACCTCTGCACAAAGGCTATTATTATCGCTGATCAAAAACTGGAGGTAAGTGGTGGCATTTATGAAAAGGTAGACAAACATATCAAAGACCAGGTCTCGGTCGCAGATTGATCCCCGATTCCACATAAAATTTCTCATCGGAACTGAGAGCCTCTGGAGCAGAAAGCATTCATTCTAGGATGCAGAAAAAAATTTTAAGTTAGATTTGGAATATTTTGTAAGTCCGATAAGCAGTCCGATAAGCAAATCACCTTGCAACTGATGAGTCCGGAATATCGATTTGAAAACAAGTGATCTTTCTTTGCATAAAATAGTTCCACGAGAAATATCCTCTCGCATAGTTGAGCTTCTAGGAATTTCATTCGATCACTGGCCATTCCCATTAGCAGAATCCCGACTAGGGGATGTAGCAGAGATCCCAGTTTTTTAAGCAGCAACAGCTCCGTTCGCTTCATAAGCGAAAGTTGTGACCAGGAAAACAGACAGTACACCGTGTAGGTGGACTCGTGGGCAGTGTAGTAGACTCCGATGAAAAGCATGGACGATACTTTAAGCCAAGCACGGGATACTTGGAGGTGAATCTGGGCCATCTTGGCGTAGATACTAAAGACACAAATGATTCTTCGTCGACACTCCAGTGTTAGTGATTTCCGAACTTGCTTCAGGGCAACGTAGGTCTCCAGGAAGGCCAGAAGCGAACGGTGCCAGCCCAGTAAGAGCAGCTGATACAGGAAGTAGGCAGTATAGAATATCTCAAAGAGAATCACGTTTAAAGTGTGATATCGGACCAGGACAAAGTGCTTCTCAGTGGGCGTATACTGAGCTGCAATGTGGTGAAATGTCAAAAACACCTTCAACAGGAAAACGACCAGCAGCGAGTCATCCAAGTAAAGTTGTTTGTCGCCGAAGAGTCTCAAGACTAGGCGATGCATTTCCAGAATTCTGTTTGCAGTCGATGTAAAGAAATCACAGTACGTCGAGTTGTGGCTGATGAAGATCAACCGTGCAGTGGACACGAGAGCCATCACCTCCTCGGCCAGCATCTGCATCCACTGGTAGGTGGTGTTGTCGTTGAACTCACTAGAGTCTTCGAAAAAGAAAAAGTACATCATGCCCCCGCACATGAAGATAAAAGGAGCTTCCAGAGTGAGCAACAAGAGCTTGATGAGTACCGCCATGACCACCCATGGCCAGGGCGTATGATATTTTTTGAGCCTTCCACTGGATTGAACGTATCGAACGGAGCCCAGGTCGAGGAAGCAGCACAGGCCATAGATGAACCTCGCATTGGCAAGTATAAAGAACCTGTATAGTCTAGTTCTCAGGTCGTGTTGCGTTGCCGCCATCCTTTCAACTGAATTCAGCCTCTAAACAACAATTATCCTTTCTGTCATTGCGCATACGCAGTGTTGGCACTGAAGTAATTGGGGTAATTAACACGTAAATAAATGAACAAAGTCAATCGATTAATGTAATTGTAAATTAGATAATGGGCTTGTGAATATGTTTTGGTATCAATATGGGATTGTTTCATTAGAAACTGTGCTGGGCTCTGTGAAATTAATTTTTGATGTTTTTGGCCGCCTGGAAATATCTGAATATGTATATTATTTCTCATTGCTCCAAGAGACTCCCATTTTCCAAGAGCAATATGTGAAAAACGATATGTGAAGCGTCGGAACGTTTCAATTTAATTTGACTTTGATCGCCAGCTGACGCCGATGTCAGCCATGAAGACGTGTCCTCCCATCTGTTTGCCAGGATACCTCGCCCGGAATGCGAAAATCAGCAACATTAGAAAGCGAGCATGTCTCATTTTGTTTATGGATTTCCATCAGGACAAGCTGTGATCGAACTGCAAACGAATCCAATAATAATGTTATTTAAAGCGATGATTTTTATGAAAATTGTATTAACAGATGACCGGGTTTTATTGGACTTGCCAATAACACCCCAAAAAAAGGAATTATTATTTTTGTTATTAGACACTTTGGGTTAATGCTATAAAAACTTTAACCGTTTATTGCCCAAAAAACGCTCGTTGCCCTCGTAAAAATTAGTGACGATTCCTATTTATTTTTCTCTGCTGCGAATAGTCTTTAAAATAAAAATACTTATGAGTTTGGCGTGAGGCCAAAGTTTGTATCGCGTTCAAAGATGGCAGTGATGGTTCTCTGTGTTTTATTGCCGAAAAAGTCGAGCAGAAGCCGAGAACTTCATAAATCACAGAAGTTTGTTTTCGGCCATGAAAAGGCTTACGGGGGTTTATCAAAATGAAAATTTATTGGCGACCGGAATTTTAGATTTATGTATTTCCACCCTCTAATTCAAAGAAGTAAGCATTTTATTGACAAAGGACAAGCCAAATGACGAAGGTTTTGAGGGCAAATGTGATATGTGCGGTTTATAAATTCTGTGAGTTGGTCTTTGCTTTTAAATATTTTTTCATAGTCTCACAGTATAATTAAATAATTAACATGGGTTGGTCCATGATACAATTATACAAGGTAGTCTATTCGCCTAACAAATCGTTCGGGTGTTGGTCCCTTAATTTCAGTGCGTGCCTACTTGTCAAACTGAAAGGTTATTTTTTTTTCAAAAATTTAACCATTAAGTGGCCAAGCAAAAAAATGACTTTTTGCCGTTATTGCCACAAGCACGTGCTAGGCGTAAAGTTTGTTTTTATACCCTTGCAGAGGGTATTATAATTTTGTCCAAAAGTGTGCAACGCAGTTAAGGAGACATCTCCGACCCTATAAAGTATATATATTCTTGATCAGGATCACCTCCTGAGTTGGTATGAGCATGTCCGTCTGTCCGTCGGTCCGTCTGTCTGTCTGTTTCTACGCGAACTAGTCTCTCAATTTTAAAGCTATCAACTTGAAACTTTGCACACACCCTTTTTTCCTTTGCATGCAGTATATAAGTCGGAACGACCGGAATCGGCCGACTATATCCTATAGCTGCCATATAACTGATTTATCGGAAATGGTATAACTTCGGTGTTTTTAGAGTTAGAGAGTTCAAGAGAGATTTTACACAAGCTCTATTTTTGGCAAAATAATACGACATGCTACATTTCGTAAGGATCAGCCGACTATATCCTATAGGTGCCATATAACTGAACGATCGGAAATGACCCAACTTTCGTGTTTTTGAAGATAGAAAGCTGGAACTTGGTACAGATTATATTTTTGGTTAGTTGATCCAACCTACCAAATTTCATAAGCATCGGCCAACTATATCCGATGTTTGCGATATATATCCGGTTTTAGCTGCAAGGGTATATAAACTTCGGCTTCGCCCGAAGTTAGCTTTCCTTTCTTTTTTTTTAGTTTTTTTAAACTAAAAATTTAAAACAGACATTGTTAAACGCCGATATTAGTGTAAACATAAAAAAATTTTTTAAAGATACGTATACCTTTAGAATTAAGAACTTAAACAAGAGAATGGCTGTCCAAAAACAAAAACAAAGAATTATGTCAAATTCAAAACTAATTTAAATAAAATTTTAAACACTACAACTCTTTTCCTAACTAAGAAAAATTTGTAGGCCCATGCCCCGTGTGCGGGTTAATCGAAGCACTGTATAGCCGTTTCACTCACACTATTCAACGCTTACTATGTTTAGATTAAAATAAGGGACTTTAATTCTACGAATGGACTACCTCGTATAATTGTATCATGGGTTGGTCGAACTTACTACATAACATTGTGCGCAGTAGTTTTATTTTTTAAAGCAAATACTCGGATTAATTTTCATTTAAATTCCAGTTTGTTAAGTATGCAGAAAGTCCTTTGGCATCGTGCAGAGTGTGTACGAGTGGCTGCCACCAGTTAACGAACCAGCTTGCCACTTTGAGTAGTTATTAAAAATGCAAAAGTCCATTTGCGACACCTTTCGAGTGTAAAATCTTTGCGGTCAACCGCACCAGGAAAAACCCGGACTGGCAAGATTCCTGGGGACACTGTTTGCACTCTTATTAAATTCCCATGAGGTAGGGGTGGGGGTTGGGAGACCACTTTCCGAATTCAATTCGGTATCTCCTCTTATGCAATTTATGTTCCCTTGAAAATTGCAAAGTCTTCTAATCTTCAAAGGCAACCGCAACTCTTTTTGTTAGCTGGCGAGTGGATAATTTTTGGCTTTGAAGCCAAAGTCCCTCGGCTAAAATGCATAATTCATAAAACACAATGCTCCTTTATTTGCCAGACTTCTTTATCCTGTATATCTTCTTCCTTAAACTTTGATGGTTCAACTTTTTAATCGGATTCCCCTGCTCTACCCTGCTCGATTGCCACCGAATCGGATTTGGTTTCGACATCGTATCGGTAGTTCTCCCATCCTAATTCACTCGTCGGATGCTCCGAAATTTTTGAGGCGAATGCGCTTTAGGGCAACAAAGTTTGCCTACCTCAACTGAAAATAGATAAATTGCGTATGATTTTGCTTTTCCTTCGGCATTTCTTATACCCCTGGCTCATGTAAGTTATAATATGAACTTTGTAAAACTCGGGCGATTCTGACCAATTTATAATGTAAAACATTGGAGCACTTAATGGACAAAGTTTGGATTGTACCTTGTCAAAAAATAAAATGTCTATTAGAGCTCGTAAAAAAAGGATAGTTTTAGAAATTAAACTAATGAAAAAGTTATAGGAGGATCTCGAACCTTCATTTTTAGTCAATATATTTTAGAGAGGAGCTATACAAATTAAAATATATAAATAGTTTGAAGCGGCTTCTTTCGATTCTTCGTTCTATCACTTCCGATTTTGGGACCTTGACTCTTAAGTTGAGAGAAAAAAGTAATTTTATAAATGCGAAATACTCGGTTTCCCGTAATATTTTTCAACAAAAAGAGCAAAAGAGTTAGTTGAAATGTCGTCGCCACTTGGGTAGGTGCTGTGGCACGTCGGAAACGTATTTAAGGCGGCAACTTGTTCCGCATAATGTGACATTTTCCGAGGAAAGTTGTGGCAAGTGTGCGAAAATGTTTCGTTATTTATGTATGCGCCTGTTGCAGTTGCAACTTCCTTGGCCATTTTGTTTCTTGCCATGCCTTTTTGGGCCAGGAGCTCTTTCCGAGCTCAGTGTCATCCCGGGGCCTAGGCCCTCCAGCATTGACTACCGTTCTGGTGTTGCCAGTGGTTAGTTGGAGTGGAGTGTCACTGGTTGTTTGGTGGTCGCTCGGCAGCTGGCGAGCGAATAAATCACGTATATAAACAAGTTGCCTAACTTTGAAGGGGAGTGTAAACAGGACACGTGCACAACTTTGGTTTATGACAAATGTTTTCTAGCAAAACTAAGTGAAAACGCTATCGAATCCCAGACCCTAAGACCGTGTTGTTCCCCAACTCAACCCAGCTCCTGTAAATGTGCACTTTTACTCAGAAACAAATTTCAACAAAAAATCATATCAAAACAAATTTTTAAGCCACTATCCTTAGAAAAAAAAAACACTTGCGTCAGGAGTAAAGCAGCAGCCCCTCCTTGTCCTCTTCAAGCCTCCGCTCCCAGAGTAGCTTGTATGAGATGTCGCCCACCATCCCACCTTGGCGCTCTGCCGACGTCGCATACCCGTTCATGAACCTGGCCAGGATCGGCAAGAACGCAGCTATGGCGGCGGTAGTCTCACTCCGACCGGAAGAGTGAAGGGCCAGGACGTATCCGGTGGGGAACACTGCGAACCGGACGCCGTCATCGTCAAGGGTGTAGGTAATGAAGGGGCGCTTGGCGTGGTTGTCTGTGACCTTGTCCGAGTACAGCTGTTTAAGCCGCTGAAGATCGATCTTGAAGGGCATCATGAAGGAAGCGTTTACGATGTTTTTGCTGAAGCTCTTAATATCCGCCTTATAGTCAAGCTCCTGGACAACCCGCACAACCTTGAACAGGGCGTTCCGGGCAGAGGCCGCGGTCAGGGCAGTAGACACCATCTTTCCACATGAAAATATCTTAACATTGGCGCTGGGATTTCGCATCCTAATGGCCACGGAGGGGTGGATCACGGGATCGTAGCGAGCGTCGGGCAGGAGGATGCACAGCTCGAACATGTTGAAGCGACAGCTCACGTCCATTACACAGGTGAAGGGCTTGTAGAGCAGTTCAAGGTGTTTTTCGACCTCTGCCAACTTGCTCAGGTTTTCGAAGGCGTTTTCGAAATCGATCTCAAAGTCAGGAACCTCCGGGTCGCCTTTTTGCGAAGCCTCATCCCAGTTGAAGTCAGGGGGCATGTGCCCATAAAGACGGGCCACTTTGTCCTCGCATGAGTTCCCCTTGCGCTCCTCCGGCTTCAAGTCCATGCTCTCGGTTTTGGTCGGATTCTCGGAGTCGCTCAGGCTTAGGCCTCTCACCATGGTAAAGAGCTCCGAGACATTTAAGTTGGGCTTCTTGGACTTGCGGCCTTCATCTCTGGTCGAATTACATAAATAAAATTTTGTATTGGCCAGTTAGAACTTACTCATCGTCGTCCTGCGGGCTAAGGGAGGCAAATCTATCCACTAGCGAGTCCATTGAAGCCAAAAACCGACAATTTCCGACTGGATATTATTTTTTGTTTTAATTTTTTGTTTGTCATGTATTTGACAGTTTGACAGTAAACAATGACTGTGAATGAAAAAGTTTGATGTCAAACGCATAACAACCATCCGCTTAACAAAAGCGTTTCATTAAACGCTTCGATTTCTTATAATATTTCCCGATCGAGGGATGCTTTTAAGTTTTTTAGCCTATTAATAAGCCGAGTAATGCGCCAATAAATAATGCAAATGTATCACTCCGATGGCGGCTACAATACGGTAATCCAATCCCTGTAATCCAAGTGAGTAATTGCTAGCACATCTGATGCCCCTTACTGAGACAGTAAAACCTACATAGATGCATAGATCTTGTTTGCGGGACAAGCATGTGATAAACTATAACAAATGGCCAGAGCGAGGGTGCCGGACAGGCAAAAATAAAAAAAATAATAGTGGCCATTTCAATCAACTTATGCGCTTGTCAAGCTTATATTTACACATAGTTGACCATATTTTATGTCGATTCCGGTTATGAAATTTACAGAGCTGTCGCAAAGAGTTCGGCGACATTTTAGTAAATATTGAAATTTAATCAAGCAAAGTGCTGTGAACACACCCACACACATACTCGCCTTACAAAAGGAGACAGAGGACGGTGTATACAAACACGGGGGAGAGGATATGCAGGATGGCAAGGATATGAACACGTCCACCCTCAGACACCTGTCACCGTCGTTTCTCGACACCATCCCCTGCCAAAGGGCCCTTCCCCCAGCCGCGTATCCTCTGCCAGGCAGGATGATGGTCGGCGAGAGTGCTGTGCATCCCACACAATGCATGTGGTGCCACACACACACGGGCAGCGTGTGTGTGTTTGTCGAAGTCAACAATCAATTGAATCGATTTCATTTTACAAATTGCGTTGAATTTTGTGGTGCAGCAACCACCAGCTGCAATTGACGGCGGAGCCGGCGGCAACAATAACGAGTCCTGGATGGCTTACTTTATATATGAGCGGAGGGTGGACCCTCAACTAAAATAGATCCCTATAAAGAAATTATCCTTGGTTACACGGCAAATATCTGCGTGCCTTAGTTTTTAACCACCGGTAAGGTTTTTGTGCAAACCAAGTTCACTCTAATATACAAACTTCCACACTCCTGCAGCTTGGACTGCCCGCAGGATGTATGCACATACATGGGGCGACTGTCACTTATGGACTGATTTTGATAGTCAATTGCTACACGCAACAGCTTCTAATTGGAAGTGAGCTTCAACCCGGCTCGAGGGATGACTAAAGATGCACAGCCGACAAATACATAGGTTGAATAGAGAGTATCGATTGGGCTTCCCTGCTGGAGCAAAAATATTTTTTGGTGAAACATGGTCCTTTAAGTGGGCGCATTAAAGCCTAAGCACTTCAATCTGTTAAAAACTCATTTCAATCCATTTTTACCAAAAAGTCAACTTTGCGTATTTTTGAAGTTAGAAGCTTGTAACTTTTTCCCCACATTTTTTTAAAGTTGATTTTATTTCCTTAAATTTTTTTTTGTTTAAGGGGACCCCCCCCATTCTCGGTTTTAAAAAATCGATTTTTTTTTTTTATTTTAATTCGAACTTGTAACTATTCAAGAATGTTCCCTGAAAATTTCAAGTAAAAATTTCAAAAACTCTTGAAGATATAGCCGATTTATGGTGGAAGCCTCAGGCGACGGCGAGAGCCGTCTCAAAACTTTAAACGCGTTTTTCTCGAAACAGTGTTTTTACGACTGGCGCATGAGGTTACTCAAAAACTGTTAATCCAATCGGTTCCAAATTTTAACACGTTATTCTACACATATATAGCTCTCGTATGAACTAGGATAAATCAAATCGGTGAAGATCTTCTTTACTTTTCAACTCGATTTGTGGCTGAAAAAAAAGAAAATTTTCAAAAAAAAATTTCAAAGGTCTGCCATTTTGTTAATTTTTGAGCGAAGTTAATAATCCTAGTTCATACGAGAGCCAAACATGTACTTTTTCTAATCCCGTTGGAATTTTTGGATTCAGATGTTCCAGTGAGCGGAAATCACATGCGCCGCCGAAAAGAAGGGCTTTTCTTTGATCACAAAAAACAACAACAAAAACAAAACAAAAAAAAATTCTGTGAAATGATTTTCTTCCTTTTTGTGTCTTAATATATGTAAGCACAGTTACAACCCTAAAAAATAATTTATGTTCATTTGCCAGCCCATTGAAAATCGTCAAAATTTAAAATCGAGAATGGGGGGGGTCCCCTTAAATTGATTTTATAAAACCAACCAATATACAATATATTCGAGGCTTATCAAATAATAACTACAAAAGTATATAATTTCTTTTTTTTTAATATAATTACGAAGCTGACTTGCTTATCTTAATTAATTTTGAATCATTATCAATTACCAACATATTTGATAAAATTTTTTAATGCGTTAAAAATTTCATTAGATTTACCTAACTGTGTTTTTTCACTGAAACTTATAAGTCAGATACAAAATCTGATAGTGATAATTCTCATAAGGATCGGCTAACTTACTTCATGAGATACATGTTTTATTTAAAACCGAATACAAGGCAGTCCAAAATGATACGAGTTTTCGTTAAGTGTTACTTCCAAAAGCCGAAAACCCATTTGTCATACACAAAATTGCAATTTAGAGTCTCGGCCACATAATGCCTGTGCTTAAATCGATTATAGACCATTACAGGCGACGCCTACGCAGTTCGCAATTAATATGCTTTTTGGATTGCTATTGCCACGACCGTTTCTATTGGCATTAGGATCAAGGATCTGGGTTGGGGACTGGAACTGAGGGTGGAGGATTTGGGAATAGAAATGGCCTGCATCTGCAATTTTGTGTTGCTGTAATTAAAAGTTGTGGCGCCGCCAACTGTGACCAGAATAAGGGTTAAACCGGAGTGGAGGGGCGGTCCGGGTGGCACACCTCCCTCCGCCGCGGCTGCCCACTCATTCTAATTCGAGTTGAAGTGGCGTTTTTGTGTTGGGCAAGTAATTAGAACATAAAGTGGAATCGAAGCTACGGCCAAGCCAAATTACATTTCCCAGCGCCAGATCAGCGGCGGTTTCAGTTCAGTTTTGTTCAGTCCCGCCGATGAACAATCGGAGATAAGTGCAGGCAGGCATGAAATATAGCAAATAAAGCTTTGGTGGTTGGGTGGTTCAGAGGGTCGGTGGCTTGGTGGTTCGGCGGTGCACTCAAATAAAATTTCGCCGGCACGCAATGTTTTCATTTAGCTAATAGTCATTAGGCAAGTAACGAGTAACAATTCGAATAATTACAATTTCTTTTGCAACTGGGAATTGCCTGGCAGGGGAAAAGGATTTAGGGCCGGAGTGAGGTGGGCTTTTGTGATTCAATAGTTCATTCTTTTTTTTTTTGGAAAATTAATGTACATGTTTTAATCATTTTCATCATTTTAAAGTATATTTTATAGTGAATTTTAGAATTTAGATATTATTACACGAACATTAATAGTCTGTTTAAGTTTAAGTCTGCATGGAACCTTAAGTTGTAGTCAAATTAAGGCGGCCTCGTAAAATGAATCTATTATATGATTCATGTTTTGCTTTCCAAATCACGCAGGCTTGATTGCAATCTTAAACACTATTTTTACTGTATGGCCAGTTAATTACAAGCTATTTTGGCAAACACGTGCCTCAAACCAGTAATAAAAGCGTTTCCAGCTCTTTGAAAAAACATGGCCCAGTCGCAGACATTTTTATGGGAGAAAACTTTATCATTCTCCCTGGTCGGAAAGTCTTCAATCCGATTGACATATTAATAAATGTGTTGCCAATGCCACTGACAGCTCCTGCCATTCCTTCCGTCGCTTTCTAAACAGAGTGTTAAGTGCATTGGAAACTTTTGCCCAACCTCCCTCCTTTTTATTATATTTTTTCATGGACTTTAGATTTTTTCTGCTCTTCCTGTGTGCATTTCAGCCACGCATGGTCATCACGGGGGAGACCCGCAACTTAAATTGAATCCCCAGCCTTATCCTCCCCAAAGAAAGTTGCCAACTTTTGCAAACCCTGTCGCTGGCTGTCGTCGTTCTCTGCTGAAGGTGTTCATGCGTGCCAAGGAATCAATAGAAAAAGTTTGAAATTACAAAATTGGAAAGAAAACAAATAGTGGGGCGCACGAGCAAAATAAACAAACAAACGAAGAAAACGTTTGAGAGGCCAGTGGGAGTTCCATAGCTGGCAGGATGTTGCCTTTGGCCAACTAGTCAGCCATCCAGCCAGTCCCAAAGGCAAACAAATCCTCTGACTCTGACAAATGCTGAAAAGTTTAACTGCAACTTTTCATGCTCGTCTCCAGAGTTCCAATTTTTTGTTTAATTTTTTTCAGTGCGTGAGTACATGGGGAAGTGTATGAGTGCCGTCCCGGCCTGGGGATTATCAATACGAGAAGTATATAGATGAGCGCATATGGGAGGGGAGTCCATCACACGGACACAACTGAACTTTTCACCAAAGGAACAAAAAATATTGGGTAATAACTTCTGGTGGATATAGTTGAAAATATCAATCTTGAGAATTTCATAAAATACCATATTCCCATTTTAAGTGGCTATACTTGCTCTTCTTGTGAGATAAAACCTTTAAAGTTTAAACCTCAATTTTATGTAGGTTTATAAAGGATGTTTATGGTCGGTGCCTTATGTCTGACGATTCTTTTTTGTAGATTTCCATTTCAAGCGTTATAAAGTAATCTATTTTGATTATTTTACTTTTCTCCTGGATGTATAAAATTTATCATATGTTGTTTAAAATATTGCTTATTTACTTTATTATTTAAATATAATTGATTAAATTTTTTTGTCCGTTAAACCCTTTAAAGTTTTGCGATAGAAATTATCATCCGAAAAATAGTGATGGTCACCCCTGATGGGACATTCACTACCTCGAATCCAGGCTCGAGCGTGCCCATAAATTACGCCATCGCTGGCGTTTAATGCTGGGACGTAGAAACGTTGCTGCAGAAACGGAATCCCTCTCACCGCTTTGAGCCATCAGTAATCGTGATTAATGCCCGT